TATAAGGTGAAAGTCATTGACACAAAGGAAAAATGGAGTAAAAGCTTCCCTGAAGCCTTTGAATGCTAAGCAGTTTTTGTTTTTGTTTTTGTTTTTGTTTTGCCATCAGTTAACAATCCTGAGTACCCAGAGAGCCTTTTACTATTTATCAACATTCTAGAGTCGTCAGTGTGGATTGTCAAAACTTGCATTTATCTCTTTTGTGTTCAATGTTGTGTGCATCCACATTTTCTTTTTTAAACAACCCTGCTTGCATAGTAACATCCACATTTTCTAACTTACCTTTCAAACCTGCCGGTAAGCAGAAGTGGCATTTAATTCACTTGGTATGATTTATATATTGATTCTAATGATAATGTTTAGTCTAAGCTGGACCTGACAAGGCCAGGCATAGTGGTGCACCAGACTTTGAGAGGCTGAGGCAGGAGGATCGCCTGAGCCTGGGAGTTCAAGGTTACAGTGAGCTGTGATCACATCCTGCCTTCTAGCCTGGGTGACAGAGCAAGAGGCTGTCTCAAAAAACAAAGAAAAGAGCCGGGCGTGGTGGCTCAAGCCTGTAATCCCAGCACTTTGGGAGGCCGAGACGGGTGGATCACGAGGTCAGGAGATCGAGACCATCCTGGCTAACACGGTGAAACCCCATTTCTACTAAAAAATACAAAAAACTAGCCGGGCGAGGTGGCGGGCGCCTGTAGTCCCAGCTACTCAGGAGGCTGAGGCAGGAGAATGGCATAAACCCGGGAGGCGGAGCTTGCAGTGAGCTGAGATCCGGCCACTGCACTCCAGCCTGGGCGACAGAGTGAGACTCTGTCTGAAAAAAAAAAAAACAAAGAAAAGAAATATATATGAGAAACTAAAGTCATTTCCCATAACTTAAAAGAGACCGGAATATTTCGAGTTGAATACAGTTTCTGCGTGGCTTGTTTTCTTCTGCCTCTTTTTTTTAAAGCTCATCTTTGGGTGAAAAATTGCCGTGATCTTCTGCAGTCCAACTACAACAAACAGCGCTTTGATCAACCTTTAGAGGCTTCAACCTGGCTGAAGAATTTCAAAACTACAAATGAGCGCTTCTTGAACCAGGTGACTAGACTCTCAGAAGTTGAGTGCTTGGTAGTCCTTATATGGATTCTTTGTGCCCTGAGTACCAATAGACTATGGAGAACTGAGACTGGAGTTGAAATATCTGTATCAGTTTTAATTTCTTTTTGTAAGTTTTGCTCACAGTGGACTCATAACTTGAAACTCATTTATCCATGGGAAATAGGCAACAGTAAGTTGTTCCCATTTTGTGGGTAGCAAAGTGAAATTCAGTTGATTCATTGACTTGTCAAGGTACATCCTCCAATCCCTCACAAGCACATTTCCAACTACATGATTTTCTCCAGGTAAGATCTTTTTAGGGAACCAGAAATGTATTGGAAAAATTCTTCTTTACCCTGGTGATTCTTGGATACCCTGTCTAGACCAGGGGCCTTCAACTCTGGGTATAAAGCAGAGTCACCTAAGAGCTTGTTAAAAATGCAGATGCCATTCTGGACATTTTCATCAGAATCCCTTATGTATGTTTTTTCAAGACTCCAAGCAGAAATGGATTAGAAAGCATTCACTTTGGTCAGGTACGGTGGCTCATATCTATAATCCCAGCACTTTGGGAGGCCGAGGCAGGAGTTCGAGATGAGCCTGGCCAACATGATGAAATCCCATCTCTACTAAAAATACAAAAATTAGCTGGGCGTGGTGGTGCACGCCTGTAGGCCCATCTATTCAGGAGGCTGAGGCAGGGGAATCTCTTGAACCTGAGAATCAGAGGTTGCAGTGAGCCGAGATAGCGCCACTGCACTCCAGCCTGGGTGACAAAGTGAGATATGGTCTCAAAAAACAGAAGAGGTCAGGCGTGGTGGCTCAGACATGTAATCCTAGCATTTTGGGAGGCCGAGGTGGGCAGATCACCTGAGGTCAGGAATCTAGACCAGCCTGGCCAACATGGTGAAACCCCATCTCTACTAAAAATACAAAAATTAGCCAGGCATGTTGGCACACGCCCGAAATCCCAGCTACTCAGGAGGCTGAGGCAGGAGAATCGCTTGAACCTGGGAAGTGGATGTTGCAGTGAGCTGAGATCGCACCACTGCACTTCAGCCTGGGTTACAGAGCGAAACTCTGTCTCAAAAAAAAAAAAAAAAAAAACCAAAGCATTCACTTCACTCTTACAGAACCTGAACAATAGATTAAAATGAACTCCTATTAACCTTAGCCTCCAACCTTTTCAAGCGATGGTTTCACCCTTAGGCCAAGTAGCCTTTTTTTGGTTTTTATTTTCTTTGCTTGCTTTTAGATAAAAGTTCAAGAGAAGTATGTCTGGAATAAGAGAGAAAGCACTGAGAAAGGCAGTCCTCTGGGAGAAGTGGTTGAACAGGTATAAGAAAAGACACTGAATGTGTAACATGCAATAACAAGAGAAGGCCTCCGGTAGCACTACAATCCACTGTCTCTCCCAATAGGGCATCACGCGGGTGAGGAACGCCACAGATGCAGTTGGAATTGTGCTGAAAGAGCTAAAGAGGCAAAGTTCTTTGGGTATTTTTCACCTCCTGGTGGCCGTGGATGGAATCAATGCTCTTTGGGGAAGAACCACCCTGAAAAGAGAAGATAAAAGCCCGGTAGGAAAACTGGGTGTCTCTATCGATATTCTTTCTCTGATTTCTGGTTCCATCAGTATGGAGGCTGGGTCTTAGCCTTGTAGACCATACAATATGTTTTCTTGCCCTAGGAATATTTAAAGTAAGATAAACAGTAAACAGCTGGGTGCAGTGGCTCACGCCTGTAATCCCAGTGGCTCAGGATGCTGAGGTGGGAGGATCGCTTGAGGCCAGGAGTTCAAGACTAGGATGGGCACTATAGCAAGGCCCCTGCCTCTAAAAAAATAAGGAATTAGCCAGTAGCCAGGCATGGTGACACACACCTGTAGTCACCGCTACTGGAAAGCTGAGGCCAGAGGATCACTTGAGCCCTGGAGTTCAAGGTTGTAATGTGGCATGATTGCAACACTGCACACCAACCTGGGTGACAGAGTGAGATCCTGTCTCTTAAAAAATATATATATGGCTGGGCGCAGTTCTCATGCCTGTAATCCCAGCACTTGGGGAGACTGAGGCGGCCGAATCACCTGAGGTCGGAGTTTGAGACCAGCTTGACCAACATGGTGAAACCCTGTCTCTACTAAAAATACAAAAAATGGCCGGGCATGGTGGCGCATGCCTGTAATCCCACCTACTCAGGAGGCTGAGGCAGGAGAATCGCTTGAACCCAGGAGCCGACTGCGCCACTGCACTCCAGCCTGGGCAACGAGCAAAACTCCGTGTCAAAAAAACTCCATACACACACACACACACACATTCATATATATATGTGTATATGCACATATACATATGTATGTGCACATATGTGTTTGCGTATATATGCACATATTCACATGTATATCTGCACATACACATATTCATATATGTATATGCATATATTCATATGTGCATACATACACATATATTCATATTCATATATGCGTGTATATATATATGAAGATAAACAGCAAGGCCTGTGGTGGCTGATGCCTGTAATCCCAGCACTTTTAGGAGGCCGAGATGGGTGGTTTGCTTGAGTCCAGGAGTTTGGAGTTTGAGATCAGCCTGGGCAGCACAGTGAAACCCTGTCTCTACAAAAAACACAAAAAATTAGCTGGGCATGGTGGTTTGCACTTGTATGTAGCTCGAGCTCCTTGGAAGGCTGAGATGGGAGGATGGCTTGAGCCCAAGAGGCAGAGGCTGCAATGAGTGGAGATGGTATCACTGCATTCCAGGCTGGGCAACAGAATGAGACTCTGTCTCTAAAAAAAAAAAAGATAAACAGTAAAATGGAAACAGAGGAGAAGGTAATGCCAAGAGTTCCACTATTCATTGAAAACTAAGGGAGTATATTGTGGAAAGAGAATGACAGCAGAAGCTATGTTTTCTTTCTTTCTTAACTTTTTATCTTTTGATTCTTTTTTCAAAATGAGGCTAGATGGTCTAAGCAGAGGAGATCAGAAGCATCAAAATGGGGCTGGTTTGGGGTAGTGGGTGTTTTTCTCGGCGACTGTTGTTAATCTCCAGAAGCATGGCAGTTCTGAGGCCAAAGGCTATGTGGCTTATCCCAGAGGGAGTACCTTCAGGTATACAATTATGTCTTAGTTGAGGGTTTTAAAAAAATTGTTGTCGCCAGGCGCCGTGGCTCATGCTTGTAATCCCAGCACTTTGGGAGGCCGAGGTGGGCGGATCACAAGGTCAGAAGTTCGAGACCATCCTGGCTAACATGGTGAAACCCTGTCTCTACTAAAAATACAAAAAATTAGGTGCTGATGGCATCTGCCTGTAGTCCCAGCTACTCAGGAGGCTGAGGCAGGAGAATTGCTTGAACCCAGGAGGCGGAGGTTGCAAGTGAGCCGAGATCATGCCACTGCACTCCAGCCTGGGCGACAGAGCAAGACTGTGTCAAGAAAAACAAAAAAAAACACAAAAAAATTGTCAGTTGTTTCAGGAGGACATCTGGGAAAGGCACGTGATGATCTCTTATCTCTTTCTGTCCAATATGCAGATTGCCCCAGAGGAATTAGCACTTGTTCACAACTTGAGGAAAATGACGAAAAATGATTGGGTAAGTGTATATGATACCTCACACATTTCAGAAAGAAATGTATTTTCATTTTAAACATGTTCTCCTATTTCATTGCTAGTACTTTACTGTCTCTAATTTTATGGACAGTAAGTTATTATGTCTTATTTAATTCCTGTATCTGTACCAAGTTAGAAATAAGGTCTGAATTAAAATCTATGTATATGGTTTATAATCTTTCCACTTAACTGGAGTAAGTTTATTCACAACCATTTTATTTAAATATTGGCCTAATTTTATTTTGCTTGTAGACATTTAAAGTGTTTTTGTATTTCCTTACGGTCTTTGGAAAAGAGTTTGAGACCCATACATATGTCATGGTAAATTAAAATCAGGCAGCAGTTTACTGTCAGAGCCAAAGCTGGAATAACCAATTTAGTTGCCATTTAACTGTGCTAGACCATACTTTTGTAACACTGTATGCCCAAGAAAGAAAAAAACATTTACAGATGATTAAATTGCAGTTTTCTATCCCTTTCAGCTTTTTCCAGTTCAGCCATTTCTCGTTTCTTTCAGCATGGTGGTGCCATTGTGTCGACTTTGAGCCAGACTGGGTCTCTCTTTAAGCCCCGGAAAGCCTATCTGCCCCAGGAGTTGCTGGGAAAGGTCAAGTCAAACGAAAATTTGTCTTAGATTGTTATCCTGTCTAAAGAAAAGTATTTATTAATCTATTTATTTTGACATAATTTCAGACTTAGAGAAAAATCATATTCCTTTATGCCCTTCTCCTGGATTCCTAAAATATTAACTTGATCATAATTGCTTTAGCCGTCTTTCTCCAGAGTTTCTTTGCTTTTTTTTTTTTTGAGGCGGAGACTTGCTCTGTCACCCAGGCTTGAGTGCGATGGCGCAATCTCGGCTCACCGCAACCTCCACCTACTGGGTTCAAGTGATTCTCCTTTCTCAGCCTCCTAAGTAGCTGGGATTACAGGTGTCCACCACCACGCCCAGCTAAATTTTTTTTTTTTTTAGTAGAGATGAGGTTTCACCATGTTGGCCAGGCTGGTTTCAAACTCCTGACCTCAAGTGATCCGCCCACCTCAGCCTCCCAAAGTGCTAGGATTATAGGCGTGAGCCACAGTGCCTGGTCTTAACGCTTCTTTGTCTCCAAATAATGTCTCATTCATATAAACAAAGATACTTTAATATATACCCTGAGCATAATTATCAAAATCAGAAAATTGACATTGATGTCATACTTATACCTAATTAGTGGAATTAATTCTGATGTAGCCAGTTATCCCGGTATCTTTTATAGAAAAATAAATCCCAGATAATGTGTCACATTAAGTTGTCATGTCTCTGGCCGGGTGCAGTGGCTCATGCCTGTAATCCCAGCACTTTGGGAGGCCGAGGCAGGTGGATAACGAGGTCAGGAGATCGAGACCATCCTGGCTAACACGGTGAAACCCCATCTCTACTAAAAATACAAAAAATTAGCCAGGCGTGGTGGTACGTGCGTGTAGTCTGTTACTTGGGAGGCTGAGGCAGAAGAATCGCTTGAACCCAGGAGGCGGAGGTTGCAGTGAACCAAGATTGCGCCACTGCACTCTAGCCTGAGCCACAAAGCAAGACTCCGTCTCAAGAAAAAAAAAAAAAATTCCTTCCTGTGAGCATGGTGGCTCACAGCTGTAATCCCAGCACTTTGGGAGGCCAAGGCAGAAGGATTCCTTGAGCTCAGGAGTTTGAGACCAGCCTGGGCAACAAAGTGAGACCCCACCTCTACAAAAAAATTTTTTTAATTAGCTGGGCATGGTGGCATTCACATGTAGTCACAGCTACTCTGAAGACTGAGGTGGGAGGATCGCTTGAGCCCGGGAGGTCAAGGTTGTAGTCAGCCCTGATTTTGCCAGTGCACACCATCCTGGGCGACAGAGTGAGGCCCTGTCACAACAGCAAAAAAAAAAGCTCCTTCAAACTTGCTTCTATATCCTTTTAACATGTCCCAATCATTATGTTTTTGGAGACAGGGTCTCACTCTGTCACCCAGGTTGTAGTGCAGTAGCACCATCATAACTCACTGTAGCCTTGAGCACATGCCACCATACCCAACCACGCTGAATGTTGTCTTTCTTTTTTTTTTTTTTTTTAGAGGCAGGGTCTTAACTATGTTTTTGCCTAGGGTGGTCTTGAACTGCTCGCTTCAGGCCGGGCATGGTGGCTCATGCCTGTAATCCTAGCACTTTGGGAGGCCGAGGCGGGTGGATCACAAGGTCAAGAGATTGAGACCATCCTGGCTAACATGGTGAAACCCCGTCTCTACTAAAAATGCAAAAAAAAAAAAAAAATTAGCCGGGCGTGGCAGCGGGCGCCTGTAATCCCACCTACTTGGGAGGTTGAGGCAGGAGAATGGTGTGAACCCGGGAGGCGGAGCTTGCAGTGAGCCGAGATTGCGCCACTGCACTCCAGCCTAGGCGACAGAGCGAGAGTCCGTCTCAAAAATACATATATATATATAGTATCTGTGGCCGCGTAGAGCACGAGTAGCCAGACACCATATGTGGAATCCTGTATCAGGCAATGTTGCCAGAGAATGAGAAGTAGAGTTACATAGAGGAAAAACAAAGACTTTGCCTTCAAAGTGCTTAAGTAGTTTGTCTGGTGCTTTGTCCCTTAACTAATATGTTTCCTGATCCTTTTTCTTCCCCAGGAAGGATTTGATGCCCTGGATCCCTTTATTCCCATCCTGGTTTCCAACTATAACCCAAAGGAATTTGAAAGTTGTATTCAGTATTATTTGGAAAACAATTGGCTTCAACATGAGAAAGGTCCATCATTTAGTTTTTTCCTATCAGGGCTTTGTGATCACAGTAGAATCCCACTCAATCAGAGCCTTGATCTCTTCTTCCATCAACAACAGCCTCTAATTTGTACTTTATCCTTTATCTTGACTTCTTTCTGGCTGATAAATGGTACAGAAAGGTGGGTGGAAGGTTGTTATGGTTTAATTTACAAAAGAGATTTTATCCCTAAATGTTTCATGATAAAGAAGGGAGCAAAACCAACTCCATCCACTGGGCAGAGTTTCCAGGTAATTGGGTTCCTGCCACATTCTCCTTAATGAATTTATTCATTCAACAGACTTCACTTGAGAGATTCATTCTGGGACACCCACAGAATAATTCATACTGCACGAGGGCTACTCCAGCACCTAAGTAAATCTTTGCCACACCTGTCCTAGTAGATGTACAGAAATTAACTTCAGCACCATATTTCATCTACTCTGACTGAAAGCATTCCAGCTGTTCATTTATTTGCCCTTGACCTCACCTTTGAATATGAGAGGGGATATAGAAGAAAAGCTAAGGCTGTTCTATCACTAGATAATAGAAAGTTAATAGTAATTGGAGGCCTGGTGCAGTGGCTCACGCCTGTAATCTGCACTTTGGTAGGCCAAGGTGGGAGGATCACTTGACGTCGGCAGTTTGAGACCAGCCTGGTTTATACAGTGAGACCCTATTTCTATTGAAAAAAGCAAAAAAAAAAAAAACAGTACTAATTGGAATAGCTTATTAAAGGAGTACAGTGAAGAGTGTAAGACTTAACTGCAGCATGTTAAGTTGGGACACACAATGGACAGATTTCTAAGAGTTGGGAGATGTGACAAAATCCTGACGTCCAGAAGACACTCTTGGAGTGGAAAGAGAGCTCCATGGTGGATTGGAGGAGTAGACACAGAAAAGGAAATAATGCATACAAAAGAAGAGTAGCTTGTTGGGGTAGGGGTCTAGAAGTAAGATTTCTTGGGAGATGATAATTACCTCAGAACGTAATTTGGATATAGTAGCCTCTGACTACACCATTTCCTGGGGAACACAGTGCAGCAGGAAACTGCCACTTACCTGTGTTTGTCTCCATTTTAGCTCCTACAGAAGAAGGGAAAAAAGAGCTGCTGTTCCTAAGTAACGCGAACCCCTCGCTGCTGGAGCGGCACTGTGCCTACCTCTAAGCCACGATCACAACATGTGAGGAAGACAGTGGACATCTCCTTTTGTCTGGACCTAGTGAGATGAGGAAGTCGGGCAGTACACAGGAAGACGAGCCAGGCCCTTGTACCTAGGGGATTGGACAGGACTGCAGTTGGCTCTAGACCTGCATTAAAATGGGTTTCACTGTGAATGCGTGACAATAAGATGTTCCCTTGTTCCTGAAACTTCTATTGGTTTATTGGATGTGGTTTTTCACATTTAAGATAACTGTGGCTCTTTTCCTAAAAATAAAAAATAAAATACCTTTCTAAAGTGTTGTGTTAGATTAATAATATGGAAGGAGTCTTTAGATTGGCCAAGTTGCATTTCTCTGATATTCCACTTGTTGCAGGTCAGAAGAGATCAATTCTACAGAAATTTCCAGTGGTTCTGTTGAGGTTTTATGGAATTCAGCATGTCAAAATTCACAGCTGGCCGGGCACAGTGGCTCATGCCTGTAATCCCAGCACTTTGGAAGCCCAAGGCGGGCAGACTGCTTGAGTTCAGGAGTTTGCAACCAGCCTGGGCAACATGGTAAAACCCTGTCTCTACTAAAACTACAAAAATTAGCCGGGCACGGTGGTATGCCCCTGTAATCCAAGCTATTCGGCAGGCTGAGGCAGGAGAATTGCTTCAACTTGGGAGGCAGATGTTGCAGTGAGCCGAGATTGCACTACTGCACTCCAGCCTGGGCAACAGAGCAAGACTCCCTCTCAAAAAAATAAAGTACACTGTGCTGTTTTACATGAGAGGCTTCAGCATCTAAGGATGTTGCTACCTGGGGGAAGTGGGGTCCTGGAAGGAATCCTGCATAGGTACGAGGAATAACAATAATGGAAAATCAGTTATCTTCCCTTTCTCCTAGTGCTTTTCTAAAAGGAATCTGTTACCAAATCTACACAAATATATATATGACCGGGCTTGGTGGCTCATGCATGTAATCCCAGCACTTTGGGAGGCTGAGGTGGGCAGATCACTTGAGGTCAGGAGTTCAAGACCAGCCTGGCCAACATGGTGAAACCCCGTCTGTACTAAAAATACAAAAAGCCAGGGGTGGTGGCACGCACCTCTAATCCCAGCTACTCGGGAGGCTGAGGCAGGAGACTCGCTTGAACCCAGGAGGCGGAGGTTGCAGTGAGCAGAGATAGCACCACTGCACTCCAGCCTGTGTGATACTCTATATATACACATATGTATATATATTATATGTATATATTATGAATATATTAGTATTACTATTAATATATTGTGTATTATACTATATACTACTTTGATATATATTAGAAATATATTTACTTTAATAGTGATATGTTACTATCAAAGTAATATATGTTGTATATTATATATTGTATGTGAAATATATATTACTCAAAATATTGGGTCCTGTAATGTATATGTATTATATATATTATATATATTTGTGTATATATAATATATTTTTTATTTATATATTTTTAAGAGATAGTCTTGCCCTGTCTCCCAGGCTGGAGTGCAGTGGCATGATCACAGCTCACTGCAGCCCCAACTCCTGGGCTCAATCAGTCCTTTTGCCTCAGCCTCCCAAGTAACTTGGGACCACAGGTGTGTGCTACCACACCTGGCTAATTTTTTAGTGTTCGGTAGAGACAGAGTGTAGGTTGGTTTCCCAGGCTAAGCAATATGGCAAAACCTCAGAGTGAGACCCAATCTCTAAATAAATAAATAATTTGAACAAAATAACTGCTAAATGTACACTAGAAACCATATTCCTGATGATAATTTAAAATATCTAAATGGAAAGATACTCCATGTTCATTGATTGGAGTACTCAATAGATGGCAGTTATTCCCATATTAACCTATAGATTCAATGCAATCATTATCAAAATTTCAGCAGGTTTTTTGGAAAACTGACCAAGCACGGTGGTCCATGCCTATAATCTCAGCACCTTGGGAGGCCAAGGTGGGCAGATCACTTGAGCCTAGGAGTTTGAGACCAGCCTGGGCAACATGGAGAAGCCTAGGCTCTACAACAAAATAAATTAGCCAGGTATGGTGGTGTGCACCTGTAGTTCCAGCTACTTGGTAGGCTGAGGCAGGAGGATCACTTGAACCCCAGAGCTTGAGGTTTCAGTGAGCCGTGATCATGCCACTGCTCTCCATCCTCAGCTGCAGAGTAAGACCCTGCCTCAAAAAACAAAAAGGAAATTAAAAAGGGAAACTGACCTAAAGTTTATGTTTTTTAAAAATATTATTTTGAGACAGGGTCTCTCTGTTACCCAGGCTGGAATGTCAGGCTGCATTATAGCCTCAACCTTCTGGACTCAGTCCTCCCACCTCAGCTCCACGAGTAGTTAGGACTACAGGCACACACCACCACTTGTGGCTAATTTTGCTTTTTTTTTTTTAAATAATGATGGGATCTCACTATGTTGCCCAGGCTGGTCTCAAACTCCTGGGCTCAAGTGATCCACCTGTCTCAGCCTCCCAAATTGCTGGGTGTATAAGCGTGAATGACTTTGGCCAGCCTATAACCCCATCGTCTGTTTCTGGGAAGACCTAATGCACCCAAACACAATGCTACCTTCAATAGACAAATCTAAAATTGCAAATAAAAATTCAAAAGAGGGCCAGGTGTGGTGGTGCAGGTGGATCACCTGAGGTCAGGAGTTTGAGACCAGCCTGAGTAACATCATGAGCCAAGATCGCGCCACTGCACTCCAGCCTGGTGACAGTGCGAGACTCCGTCTCAAAAAAAAAAAAAAGAGCCGGGCCCGGTGGCTCATGCCTGTAACCCCAGCACTTTGGGAGGCCGAGACGGGCGGATCACGAGGTCAGCAGATCGAGACCATCCTGGCTAACATGGTGAAACCCCGTCTCTACTAAAAATACAAAAAATTAGCCGGGCGCGGTGGCCGGCGCCTGTAATCCCAGCTACTCGGGAGGCTGAGGCAGGAGAAAGGCGTGAACCCGGGAGGCGGAGCTTGCAGTGAGCCAAGATCGCGCCACAGCACTCCAGCCTGGGCGACGGAGCGAGCCTGTGTCTCAAAAAAAAAAAAATAATAGATTGAGTAGCATGATTAACACTTGTCCTAATGGAAGTATTTTTAAAAATTGAATCCCCAAACAACTTTTTTTTTTTTTTTGTAGAAGTTCTTTTACATTCACGTAATATACTTTATTTATTTATTTTAATTTTATTTTATTTTAGTTTTTGAGACGGAGTCTCGCTCTGTCACCCAGGCTGGAGTGCAGTGGCACGATCTTGGCTCACTGCAAGTGCCGCCTCCCGGGGTTCATGCCATTCTCCTGCCTCAGCCTCCCGAGTAGCTGGGACTATAGATGCCCGCCACCACACCCAGCTAATTTTTTTTGTATTTTTGGTAGAGATGAGGGTTCACCGTGTTAGCCAAGATGGTCTCGATCTCCTGACCTCATGATCCGCCCGCCTCAGCCTCCCAAAGTGCTGGGATTACAGGCGTGAGCCACCGTGCCCAGCCTCTACTTTATTTTTAATAGCCTAACTACAGTCATCCTTTTCTTTAACCCAGGAAGACAGAGAGAGAGCAACTGAAGTTGCCTAAAGCTGAACTTGGACATCACCAAGCCTCTAGAAAGGCAGAAGATTATGAAATAATGCTTTAATAAACATATTATTTAATAAGCATCTGTTGTTCTACAAAGTAGAAAATATATCAGGTCATTATTGTTGACCCTTGAACAATAACGTTTTTCGACTGCATGGGTCCATGGGTCCACTTAGTCATATATATATATATTTTTTAGACAGGGTCTCGCTCTGTTGCCCAGGCTGGAGTGCAGTGGCATGATCTTGGCTCACTGTAACCTCCGCAACCTAGGTTCAAGTTATCCTCCTGACTCAGCCTCCCTAGTAGCTGGGCTTACAGGTGCCCACCACCACGCCCGACTAATTTTTGTATTTATAGCAGAGACGGGGTGTCACCATATTGGCCAGGCTGTTCTCAAACTCCTGACCTCAGGTGATCCGCTCACTTCAGCCTCCCAAAGTGCTGGGATTACAGGTGTGAGCCACTGAGCCTGGCCTCGCAGATCTTTTTCAATAGAAGTTATATAGAGTGGACCTGCCTTTCTGGCCTCACCTTCCACCTATCAAATCCCAAAACTTCTGAATGTACTTTCTTTTGAAACACATAAAGAACCTGTTCAAAATTGACTGACAATGGACCATAAACCAACTCAATATATTTCAAAGAATTTAAATCATACAGCCGTGTACTCTGATTCTAATACAATTTAAGGTAGAAACCAGTAACAAAAAGAGAAGTAGAAACTCACGTCTGGAAATAAAAACATACTTTTCTGATGTGCCCATTGGTCAGGAAAATAAATCAGAATGGAATTGAGAAATTCAAATTAAACGATTGTGAAATTACTAAACACAAACTTAAACAAAAATTTTGTACATTGAAAATACTGGCTGGCAGGGCACGGTGACTCAGGCCTGTAATCCCAGCACTTTGGGAGGCCAAGGCAGGAGGATTCCTTGAGCCCAGGACTTCAAGACCAGCCTGGGCACCATAGTGAAACCTCATCTCCACCAAAAATGCAAAAATTGACCGGGCGCAGTGGCTCACGTCTGTAATCCCAGCACTTTTGGAGGCTAAAGCGGGCAGATCACCTGAGGTCAGGAGTTCAAGACCAGCCTGGCCAACATGGCAAAATCCTGTCTCTGCTAAAAAATACAAAAATTAGCTGGGCGTGGTGGCAGGCACCTGTAATCCCAGCTACTCGGGAGGCTGAGGCAGGGAGATTGCTTGAACCCAGGAGGTGGAAGTTGCAGTGAGCTGAGATCACGCCACTGCACTCCAGCCTGGGTGACAGAGCGAGACTCCGTCTCAAGAAAAAAAAAAAAAAAGCAAAAATTAGCTGGATTCGTGATGGCGCACACCTGTAGTCCCAGCTACTTGGGGGGCTGAGGTGGGAGGATGGCTTGAGCCCAAGAGGTCGAAGTTGCAGTGAGCCGTGTTTGTGCCACTGCACTCCAGCTTGAGTGACAAAGTGAGATCCTATCTCAAAAAAATATTTTAAAAAAATATTAAATATTTAAAAATATTAAAATTGGCCAGGTGCAGTGGCTTACGCCTGTAATCCCAGCACTTTGGGAGACTGAGGCTGGCAGATCACGAGGTCAGGAATTCGACACCAGCCTGGCCAACATAGTGAAACCCTGTCTCTACTAAGAATACAAAAATGAGCCAGGTGTGGTGGCGCGTGCCTGTAGTCCCAGCTACTCGGGAGTCTGAGGCAAGAGAA